ATATATATGTATATTTATATATATAGGAATACATATGTATATATATATTTGTATTTGACAAAAATAATTTTGCTTTCATTCACAGCAGAGGATCATCTTAATTAAAATTAATACTTGTTTCATCATTTAGTCTGATAAACTCCATTAGTCTCTAACAAAGTCATTCAAGACTGGTACAGAGGATCAATTAATTGCCATGGCAACCAGTAAGATGACACTTAATGAGATATTTTAACACATGCATATGACTTTACAAGATAGATGACGCTGCTTTCAAAATAAATGTGAAAAACTCTGTGAAGTATAACTCTCAATGGGAACTTTTTAATTCCCAGACATCATATGTGTCTGTGTTCACAGACATGGTTCTTGGAAATGGAAGTCATTGATTTTCTCACTGCATCTGAATAGTATCTCCCTTTTCCTGCCAGTGCAGCATGTAATATAAGACTGCACGTTTTTCTTTACCCAGTGCAATCAATTCTGCTCAGTCGAGCTTTGTGGATGTAGCCTACTTAAGTACCATTCCCCTCCAACACACACCTCTTCAGACCCTCTGGAAAAGTGGTTTAAGTGTATTAATAATTACAACAAAATGCTTGAATCAAGACCCAGCAAATTCAAAAACACCTGGATGAATCAATAGGCCACTGTGTCACTTTCTATGCATGAGAGTGCCCATGAACAAAAGCGCCTAATGAAATAAAAAAAATCACTTCAACTCTAATTCCCTGTGAAGATAGGCCACAAGACAGCTTCTCTTATGTTTATCACTTTTACTAAAGAGTGTTCACTGCCTTTCATCAAGAAAAAAAAAAGTCCAAAAGATGAGGCTGTATGACTGTGGAGTCTGGGTTCCACACAGTATCTCTTCAGCCTGCATAAAACTCACATATTGTTTAACACAAACAGGCAGACGTAAACTTCCACTTTAGAGACACGCGTTGTTGTTTTCAGCAATTGTGTTTAGCCATAAATTACTGTAATGGAAACCAATTAGATAGTGTGGTTTCAACCTTTACTGGAGCCAAGATGACTAAACTCCCTAAGGAGGCATTTTAAAAGACTTGCATGGAAATAAACAGAAAATATCATTTAGTTCTGACAGAGTCTAAAAATGATGCTGAGAGTAGTGAACAGAAGTAGAAGTTTTATGTTTAATTTTCCTTGCAACTGGCAATACATGCATACTTAGTTTATAATAAAGTGGAGTTTCTGCAAAGGGAAAGGAAGATGCTGACACAAACATTGTTTATTTCCCTGCTACTGAATAAATCTTTGTGTACAGTTGAAGAAGAGACAGTGGATTAGACTTCTCTTACCTGTAACCACTGTGACTGGTCACTGTGTCCAGCTGTCCAAGCATTGACCTTGCCCTGTTTGTCCAAACGGGCTTTCCCAGGCTCCCAAGTAAACATGTCCATGTTGAGCGTCCTGAAGATGCTGGAGGCGGTGACCTGATAGTCCTGGATATGTCCTGACTTCATCCCCAGAGGTTCAGAACATCCTTGCAGTAACAACAACAACAGAAAAAGACTAACTTGTTTGAACCTTTTGAACTGCTCAAACCTACAAAAGAACTAAAAAAAAGCACCAGGATGCAACTGTTCATCCGGAGTATTGAAGTTCACCTACCTGTCAGCTCACAGCCAAGGAGCTCCATCCGTAAGGTACAGTGCCTCCTGCAGACTTGGGGGTAAATGCGAACATACTGGGCTTCAATAGGAGGTGTGAATGAGTTGGCTGATGGCGCGTTGTTTTCAACATTTCCTCTAAAAATCTGTAGGACGAGAGGAAAAACATCAAACAGAGTAGGAGAGGAAAGCGAAACAAATCACTTTGCTATATTATGACAGACTATCCACCGCTGTCTCTGGTGTCTACTCCACAGCCAACAAATTGCTGTCATTCAAGGTCAATGAGCTAGAATTACAGAGAAAAAGAAATTGACAATTTCCTGCACCATTTGAGCCAAATAATTCATAAGAACAATAGTGTGCTTTAGATTATTGCTCCAATTATACTGCCACACATTCTGGTCACTTAAAATCAAATGACAAAAGGCAGTATGGCACACATTTTCTTATTTGAGAGAAAAATAGGCACAAACCCTTGAGTATTTTCAGCCAAACATAACAGTAGTGGTTTGCTGTCAGGAATGATATGTGTCCTTTTGGTGGCTGTTCATTCCCAAACAGTAGAATCACAATGAATTCAATCTAAAAGTCATAAAAGTGAAGAGGGGTAAAGGGCAGCAGGACGAGCCTGGTGTGTGCTAGCTAATTAAAAAGCCATCTCATCATGTCCTCCACCTCGTCCTTGAATGAGTGCACTAGCTAGTCTCTGAGAGTGCATGTGGACCAGTCTGTGCCCTTGTCTGTGTAAAATAGAGTAGGAGGCAATGAGTGACAGTGGATGTGTCTCACCATGTCCTCCTCTTTGCCCTTGACTTTGTATGTTCTCCAGGTCTTCCCATCATCACTGTACGCCACTTTGTAAGACTTGACATACTCTGGGCTGCCGATTCGCTTTGCACCCTGGGTAATTAGGCCCGTTACCCTCATCCTCCTCAGTAGGTTTATCTGGAGAGTCCAAATAAAAAACGGAAAAGTCATGAAATTTCATTTTATTAATCTGACACACATACAGTATATTTATTGTCTCTCTGTGGTCCTGAGCAGCGTGAGTGTGCTTCTCATGGGGATCAATACACCCCACTTTATCTTCTCTGTCAGGGTCATCTATCTCATTCAGAAAATCTGAGGTCAAATAGAACATTTAATCAATTCCCATGTCTCTCAACCAGTATATCCACAATTTGCAAACTGTCAATACAGTGCCAATGGGGAAGAACTTGGTGACCCAAGACAAAAAGAAAGGAGCTGAGAAAGAGGGAAAAGATTAATGACCCAATTTGGGAAACACAGCATGGGGTATTTATTGCATGTACACATACATTCAAGGCTTTTCCACAGATAGGTCATTTTGACAAACTACGCTTAACACTGTTTAACATACACAACAAGTAGTATATAATAGTAACAACTACACATTTTTCAACATTTCTGGTTCAAAATATACTGTACGATAATAATATAACAGACAGACAGGCAAACAGACAGACAGACAGACAGACAGACAGACAGACAGACAGACAGATATATATAGATAGATAGATAGACAGACAGACAGACAGACAGACAGACAGACAGACAGACAGACAGACAGACAGACAGACAGACAGACAGACAGACAGACAGACAGACAGACAGACAGACAGATAGATAGATAGATAGATAGATAGATAGATAGATAGATAGATAGATAGATAGATAGATAGAAAGATAGATAGATAGATAGATAGATAGATAGATAGATAGATAGATAGATAGATAGATAGATAGATAGATAGATAGATAGATAGATAGATAGATAGATAGATAGATAGATAGATAGATAGATAGATAGATAGATAGGCTGAACAAGTTTAGATACCTGTAGTGACAGAGTTTTGACCAAGTTTAGATTTATGTATCTTCTGTACAGAAATTACAAATACTGCACAACAGAAATAATAACTGAAACACTTTATTGTACGAATAAAGTTTAAACCAAAAGTTGAAACATGAAGAGATCTAAAATCATCTAATAAGATGATTTGTTAATTGAGGTATAAAGCAAAGAGAAAAATCATGATGAACTCCAAATGTGTAAAACAAAACAAAAACATATTCATGAACATTAAAAGAAAAAAAAAAAGCCATTTTTCCCCAATTGTTTCAAATTTTAATATTAATGCTGCTAACATTTAATTTGTTTTAATGGCAATGCCAAGGCAGATTATCATAAATTACAGTATACTGTCTCTAAAGTGCAGATAAATACATAATTTGAGGTAAAAGTATAGTAAAATTGATTAAAAAAGAGTAAAAATTCAAATCAAATCTATTAAGGATAACATCCAAAAGGAATTAGATATGTTTCATTTAATACATACTAAAATCTATACCAAACTAACCAAACCTAACCAAAGTAATTAAATTTGACAGCACTGGCCACTAAAAGCCTTTGTTGTCCTCCTGGTAAAAACTATGAAATGTTCCATGTTTTCAATCATCAGCAGGAACCATCAAGTAGCAAATTTTATTCATTTATGGCAAAAAAATAAAAAAATAAAAAACTAAACAAAAACAAAACATGATAGACAAAGTTAACACAAATGTGACTTGTTCAAGGTTGGCCATAACATTGCCTGCTTAGAAAATGTGTTGGCCCTTGAGCAAATTTTGTTGAAGACCATTGCGATATAAAAAAAAAAATATATATATATTTTTATTTCTGAAGGATGCTGAGAATTTGAGGAATGGTTTTTAGAATAACTGAGCAAAATTAAGATTAAAAAATTGTGTATAACAACCTTAATATATATTGAAACAATTTTTAAATATTTTGTTTCTTTGTGTTCTAAATTCAGTTTGTCAAAAAAAAAAAAAACAGTATATATATTTGCACATCCTTAAACCAGCATATGATTTTAATTATCCACAGGGACCCCTTTTAGAGCCTCAAAGCTGCACTGACCCTTACATTCACATTCACAGCATTTCTTTGCTCTTCACAATTTTCTCCATAGAGACAAGTACTTCTTGCACTAATTAAAAACCTTGTCACTGAAAGGCCACTGCTGGGCTAATTGTTGGTGATCCTTCACGTGTTTAATGACCACTCAGAAAAACACCTCTGTCACTTCAGAACTAATTGAGATGCATTTTCTTGTTAAGGTGAAGTTGTGTGGACATTTGCCTGTGGACGTACAGGTATAAATATCATTAAGAAGGAAACAGACAATTGCACTACAGCACTTGAATGCACAAATGTTTTTTATTTTTTTTAATTACTGAGAAACGCAAGAGAGACCACAGTAAGGTGAGTACCTAACGGATCTGTGTACCCTCTCCTAAAAGCAATTGTTCTTGATGAGACCATGACTCACTGCACCCACTCCTTTGTAATGTTCTAAGTCAGCCCCAACACAAACTGCACTAGGATGCTAAATAATGACGTTTTTGGTTGAGATATCTCTTAAAATACTGACAAACTGAAAAAGTGTTGCAAAACAAATAGTTCAAAAAGCATTGTCAATACTGTGCAAATCTCAGTAAGTTAAAAGTAAAATTGATGGCAGATGTTCCTGTAAATACTTAAAAAAACACTAAAGTAGTGACTGCTGGACAATTCAGTGTGTCAAATCCATCCATCCATCCATCCATCCATCCATCCATCCATCCATCCATCCATCCATCCATCCATCCATCCATCCA